ATGCAGTACTTCTCCTGTACGTTATAATTGTTCCATGGAGCTCATGGCTGATGTTGCACAATAAAAATATATCATTAGAAAATCAAACATGCTTCAAATTGGAGCTTTCGATTCTGACTTCCCAGCTAGCTCATGCATAAAGTCTGATGCATAGGAAAAATTCAGTGGTGAACACTGGCCAGTTAGGCATGCTGCTGGACTCTGATTTTGGAGTGAATCAAGCTTTTTACATTTCTTTAAAATTGAATTTTTTTTTTCTATTTTTTTTCTTCTTTTTCTTTCTTTCTTTCTTTCTTTTTTTTTTTTTTTTTTTTTTTTTTTTTTTTTTTCTGAGGCAGAGAATGAATATGTAGCAAATAATCTCTTCTAGGCAGAGCCTATCTGAAGCTTATGACTTATTAAGCATCATGCATATGACCAGTGCTTAAAAATACCATAAATAAATCCAGCGAGAGGACACACATAAATCCTCAGTACTATCTATTCTTCAGACACTAGCAAGGGCACAGTGAAATCGTGGGGGAGCTGCAGGTGCAGCACAACGTGGGTAATTCCTGAAAGCCTTGTGCCTGTCAGCTCCCAAGGGCAGACGGAACATCTCAGTGCTATGGAAAGGATTTCTGCAATGACAAGTGGTTTGTGTGTCTCCTTTGTGGGGGTACAGCATAAACTCCCTCTATTTAGTTTGGTAGCTGATGGGAGAGAGAGAGTGAAGCTTTAGCTGCCCTCCCTTCTGCTCCATTTTCCTTTGAAAAGTGTTCTGCTGCTGGCATTATTAACTCTGAAACTCCCCATACAGCTGTGAGCTGCGAGGACTGGATCTCCTATGCGACCATGGAAGAGGCACAAAGGTTTCCTTGTGACTACTCGCTCTTTTTGTGTCCCTACAAAAGCCTGCTCACAATGTAGTATGCTGTTAATAGCTAAAGCACAAGATGTGGTAATGTAAATGAAGCCTGAGCAGCTGAAGCGAAGGTTTGGGGAAACTGGGGTCTAAATGATTGTGCTTTGTCTTCCTTATTGAGTCACTGCCACATGACTTTTTTGGCTTAATCCCTTCATAGCACTTTATGCAGAGGCAATCCGTTCAGATGTTTAAACACGTATTCATTATATGCTGTATGTGCTCAGATGTCCTTGCATGTGAATATGGCTTTGTTAGTACTCTGTCCTCAAGTATATATTTCACCTGTCTGTGTGATTACTGAGGAATTTTGGCAAAGTTTTGGCTTTGTTGCAAGACTGTATTCCCATTCCCTGAACTAACATTATGTTCTTCTCACTAACATATACAAAAATGCACTTTTTTTGTTGTTGTTGTTTACTAATGAATGTTTACTAAGAATTTGCAAAATCTCAGCATGGAAGCAAAGGAACTGAGCATTATTGAGGACATGTGTGAGGTAGAGATCCAAAGAGCTTTGGGTTTTTCAAAGAAAGGAGAATTGGGGGCCCCTGAGAAGTTTACGCATGCCATGAATGTCCCTTCTGTTTGTCAGCTCTGAAGCAGTGTCAAAGAAGCTCCTATCTGTGACAGGCAGACCTGACAGACAGCATTGTTCATTCAGTTTTCATTCAATATAAGGGTCACAGATCCCAGTGTCAGGATAAAGTAAGACTAAGTAAGTGGTCTGATTGATCCTGCACTTCTAGGACATGTCAGTCTGGGATGTGGGTACTAGATGTAATTCAAATTTTGCAAGCATGGGATAAAGACTCTGAGATGAAAGTGAAAGATAGGAACTCTTTGTTAGGGTGGAAGCAAGCCACAGTAGCAATTTTAATCTATTTCTACATATAAAATATGTGGCCTGCATACAGTTCCTAATTTTCATTTTTATTTTCTATGACATCTTGCCAAGTTGAGGGAACAGTAGTGAGACAAACTGATGCCACAGAGACTGTGAAAAAAAAAGGGAGGTAAAGAAATCTGACATCCTGGCACTGTGCAAAAATCCTGATAGATTTATTATCAGCCACTGTGGAACCATGCTGTTTCAGAACAACTGTCAACCTCACCATGCTAATTCTTTTATTCTGGTAAAATATTTCTGTTCTTCACCTGATACATTCTGCTGAATTGGGCGTTTGTGGCTTCTAAAATCAAGAGCTACTGGACAGAAGCAGATGGAAAGAAAATGGACCATAGTAAATTATTATTGTTACAGGGATGTGGGTATGTGAGCCTAACATGGTCTCACATCACTGTAGTTCTTATTTCAAGGAGCCATATACAACAAGGAATAAATACAGTGGACAGCATTTTACTCACCAGCCAAAGAGCCAAAATGTCATTAACATGAAATGGAAACTAGTCCTTTAAAATGCTTAGCTGCTCCTGAGCCTCCCTAATCAAGTGATCCCCCTGCACTGCAAAGAAAAAGAAGTTTCTTAACAAATGTTTCCTGAGAAAAGCTGTGTGTATAATCAAGCCTAGGGGGGTCTTTGGAACTTGATGATCCTTGAAGTTCCTTCCAACCCTTGAGATTCCTTCCAACCCTTGCCATTCTGTGATAAAACAGGAGAATCACTGACACACAGAAGCAAATAGGGGTTCTCTAGTAGCAAGTTTCTGTTGCCCTTCTTCCATCCAAAGACCCTTTAGAATCAGGCTAGAGCAGTTACACACAAAACTTTTAAGAAACACAACCAACACAAGTGTTTTTCATTAGAAGTTCATAACGAACATTGAATTGCCTTGTTGTCAAAGAGCAGCTCACAGCACGTTTCAGTTTGCATCTCATTCCCAGCAGAACTCATGCTTCCATAGAGAAGGATATATTTTGAAGCAAGCGTTCCAAATGCTTATGCATTCAGCTATTAATGATAAAGTGACTGTGAAGTTATTGTCTAGACAGTGGCTGAGATTTGAAGGCACCTCTGGAAACTGCATTGTCCAAGATCCTCCTCAAGATAAGATCAGCAGAAACGGGTTGCTCAGATTCTGTCCAGCTGGGTTTTGAGTTACTCTAAGAATCAAGACTCCATGATTGATCTGGGCAGCCTATGCCTGTGTTTGAGGATCCTCACCTTAAGAAAGGTTTTCCTTGTGTTTGGAATTTCTCATATTTGAATTTGTGCCACTTGCCTTTTGTCCTGTCAGCGAGAACCACTGAGAAGTATGTGGCTCTTATTACTCCGGGCACACTCTTCAGGTCTTTATGGACATTGATGAGATCCCCCTGATCCTTCTCTTCTCCAGGCTGAGCAGCCCCATCAGAGTAAAGGAGGCAGTCTGGAAACTCTGCATCTGAAATCAGTTCTGGAACTGACATATTTGAAAAAATTGAAGTGAAATTCCATGCTGTGTCTCTGTGGTAAAAGCACAAGGGTCAGGACCCAGTAGGAAGATAGGTTAAAGTAACTTCAAGATACTTTTGTGCTCCTTTAACCTTGGATTGCCATGGGGTCTGCTGAAAGCTCTAGCGTAATCTATTCAGCTAAAACTGTGGCTCCTCTGCACTGTCCTAAGGGGATGTGAAATAAGATTGCATGAAATAGAAATGTCATGGCTGAAATAGCCATAATGCTCTTCCTCTTGTCCCCACTCCAAATTGTAGCATGCTCGTTATACTAGACCTTGAGAAAGAATGTTAGGAACAAGGCTTTTTTGCTTTTTTTAGAGCTTCTACTAAGGAAATCTGACATATTTTGAGGGATTTTTAGGGCCCTTTTAGACCTCTGCATTGCTTCTTCATGGATAACAGTGAAAACAAGTCTTTTCTGTTTAATCCCTCTAAGTCTCAGGTATAAAATGCTTTTCTTTTTACTTGTGCCTAAGTAATAAGCTTTTTAGATGTGATTTGGATTTTATTCCATGGGTTGGCCCTAGCTAAGAGGAGTCTAGGTTTTTCTCTAGGATGTCTAACAGTGCTGGAAAGTAAATAATTAGGACAAAGCAGAATGCTTGACTTTGTATTAGGTAATTTTACTTTTCAGGAGTGAAAAGTGCAGGAAGGATAGGGGAGGCAGAAAATGACTCATTTTAACTGTGTTGCCTTCTGGTTCTGAGGACATCATTCGGAAACATCACCACAATGTAATGTACGTCCAGATGTCTAGAAACTTTCTCTTAAGAGCACTCTGCTCAGTGGCTGCCACTGTAGGGTGGTAATGCTTTCCTTCTCATCCCAGACTGGAATTGCATCTCTCTGTCCTGGTAATTTTGATGCAGGTTGTCTTGGCAGATGCTAAATTAAAGGCATGCTAGGAGAATTACATAGTCTTTCAAATTCTTAAGGTTTGCTGTTTTTGCCAAATGAGTATTCCTTAAATTAGTTCATTTCAAACAAAACTGTAATAAAGGTCTCTAAACACTGTTAAGGTAGTACATTTCAATACCTGGGGTCTGCTTGTATGAGAATTAACTAAGATCCACGTACATGTAATGAGAAAATCAGGTCTTGCTTTGGTCAAGTGACACATCTGTTTCTCCACATTTTCAAATAATAGTAAAGCTGTGCTCTTAAATATTTTACTTTCACACAGTTATTCAGTATTTGTCAATATTCCCATTGTTATTCAAATCATATGTCCTACTCTTGTATTCATGCAGCAGTTAAAATTGTGATTGCTGGATTATAGCAATCTTTATCATCATAACTGAATTTTTTACTTTGAATTAACTCTAAAACTTTAATGCTCCATTAATGTACGATACATTGGATATAAGACAGATGATGAGATTTGAATGAGCTCATATCTCTTGATCTTTTTATCTCCATGCATATGCATGGAATGGAAACATGGTTTTGAGGGCAACAAAAGTTGGAAGGATAATGCAGAGTAAAAGAGCATTTGAAACTATTGATTTAAATATTGAGAAGGAACGTATATATAAATGATGACATCCTTGAAATCCAATGGGGTTGAAATGACAATAAACATTGACAGCTACAGAGAAACAATTGGTATTGCAACAACTTTGGAGCTGAGATTGTGAAAAATTTGTTTATTTTCAGTTTAATCAGAAGAAATCAATTCCTCTTGTGACACCCCAGATAGGTCTTTGTTCTCTGTCTGTGAAGGAATTCTGTCTTCCCTGTAGATGGAGGTGAAATTCAAGAGGTAAGTTGGTATCGATGTGAACTAAGACAACTGTTCTTTTGTTGTTGATGTTTGTTTTTAACCTGACAAATTCTGGACTGAATGAACAAATCTTTTAAATACTGGTAAAAATACTTCCGCTCTTCAAAGCAGAGGTGATAAATGCTATCTCTCCATGACATTTATGAGCTACATTAAAAAACGATCAAGCCGTAATTATATTATGTGTCTGAAAAATTGTCAGAATTCGTATACGGAAAAATAAGATTCTCTTGCATCTTTCCTTGCTAAGATTTTTCACTAGCCTGTAACAATTCAGAAAGCCAGCTTTACTTGTTTTCTTGCTCTTCTCTCAGATTTCAGGTTTTAGCTTTTATACCTTTTTATAAGATGAAATCAAGTGACCTTCCTTCACTTCACCTAGGTCCTCATCTCCAATGGGCAGTGACTAGTCTGAATTTAGTGACTACATTGATTATTTTATCAAAGGTAGCAGTAAGAATACAGCAGTTAGGGAAAAAGGTTTCAAAACAACTTCATACAATTGTCTCCATGAAATATTGTTTCCTGTTCCTAAAGGCAGGCAGATCTGCGTTCTCCAACCCCCCTCCTACTTAAAGTATCTGCTTAAACATACCTTTGTGTTTCTGGCTATCTTCTCTCAGTATTGAGAAGCTCCTTGGCAGGCTGAGACTGTTCTTCTAGGGCTAATGAACTTCCCATCACCCAAGTGTTTACCAAGCAGGGTCTTATTGTGTAACTGATTATTTACCTTGTTGTCTAAACACCTTATTGTCTAACCCCACAAAATGGCAGTGGAAGTATCTGGAGTTTAATGTCCATATAAAATGTGTATGAATCAGATCAGTGTTTACAATTTATTGCAGTGCATTGCTAATTTGGTCAATACAAGTCATTCAGGCAAACCAGATTTCTCGGAAAGATCAGGCTTACTCACCCCTGTAGTTTACTGATTTTTTACAAGACATGCTTTAAGAGTCTATTTTAAAATCTGAGGAGTAAGGATGTCTCTTTCTAATTTAATCTGTCTCTCCTGGTGAGCTGATGTGTAGTGCACAGTTGACAGACCTCTGAGCAATCGCTTCAGTGCTCTTGCTCTGATTTTTTTTGGCTTTGCTCAGTGATATTAGGACAGTCTTGATTTCCAGTTTATTCTTTTGGGGTTTTCTATTGAGCTCATGACCAAAGAAACAGAGTGACATGCAGTAGAGCACGGAGCAGCACAACGAACAGCTGGTATGTGTTTGTTCTCTCATCCTCTCCTCAGGGGGACGAGTGTGCACTGCAGAATGTTTTCCTTTGGAATTATTTTTAATACTGTGCTAATAAGAGACAAGCAAGGGTAAAAGCAATGTGCTTGGTGTTCAGAGTATGAGCAGTGAGACTGGTTATATCCTTATTTTCTTGCTTACCCCAAACACGAATAAGCCTCCAGGAAATGCCTGTCTACTGCACAGACAGACTTTGTTCTTTATGGAGAATATGTTTTATGGAGGATATTGTCTCTTCAATACTGCAGGGAGAAAAGGCTGACCATTTATTTATTTTGATTTAGTAGAGCAATCTGAAGGAAAGCCCCCACCCCCCAAAAAAATATTTATATTTTTCAAGATCCATAGGTTGTTGTTTTTCCAAGGAAAGTTTATGTTTCTAAATACAGAGGAGTAACACTGCTATTTCAGTGAAGTCAGTGACAATTATGCTTATCCATAGTACAATATCTGCTTCTGGAACAAAATGGAAACAGTGAGCAGGGAGCAGGGAGAATTGTTCTTTTGGAAACCATCTTTGTAATGGCTCATTACATAGTGTCCATGGCACCCTGTTTGGAGTAGTAGAAATGGACTGCAAAGAGATTACTCTCATACTATTCTCAGATACTTCTCTTTATCAAACAATGTTTCCTGAACGAACCTTTCCTAAATCTTGTGGTATTTAATATAAAAAAGAAGGATTCAGTTGTACCTACAATGTATCGCTGTAGTAACACAACATGAAATGATGTTTTGGGCTGGCTATTGCCAACTGCTTCCCACTATACTCTGGTTATGGGCCTCTGCAGTAGACTCTGCATCCTCCCAAAGGGCAGGGTCTGGTGTCTCTAGCAATGCTAGTTTAGCTCTATGCATGAGTCTGTGATGAGTCAGAATAATACAGTGGATGTTTCTCTGTTTTTATACTTCCATAGGTACTGGAGTGCACCAGAGGATTGCTTAGTCTACAGCAACAGCATGCAACACTGAGCAAATGGTGTCTAGGATCCATGTCTGTCCTTACACCATCAGGACTGCAGGGACACTGGGGCCAGGAATGAGGAGCAATTCCTCTACTGTTGCCAGTGCTTCACAGCTCAACACCTACCTACAGTTGTAGGCAAGAGAGTGTCATCTGGGAGAAGCTCTGCTGCTGCAGTCATGCTGCTGTCGCTGCCAGTGACTGGTCACATATGCCTACCTGTGCTGCAGTCACGTCTTCATGCAAACTTATTCCTAAAGACTTTAGTTTTCTCAATGTTCCCTTCCCAGCAGAGAACACAATTTGAACTTGACATGCAGCACTGGGCCAGCTCAGCCTGGCTTTGTTTTACTGCTCCATAATGGATATGCTTGTAAACTGATATTTCTATTCTAGAAGGTTAATAATGATTCTTTCTGGAGTGAAATTTTATCCATAGCAAAATAATTACAGTGAAATAGCTGGGAGTACCTTTCCAAGGCAGCAGTTCCCAGGCATTCTCTGCAAATGGGAGAAGGATGATTTCTGACAATCTGCTTTTGATTACAGAAAATTGTTAAGTTCTAGTTTCACCCTCAAACATTTATCTCTCTGCTGCCTTGTTTTGGAAGATGAAGCTTTGCAGGAGCTGAACAGTAGGTCTTATTGATATAATCTCTATTTTACCTAACAGGTCATTTACCCCCTTCCTCTCTGTCTGCCTCCCTTCTTTTCCTTGCTTTGCTGCTGCTGGCAAGCTAATTAGGCTGCTCCCACAAGAAAAATTCATCCAAGGCCATAACAGCCATATCAGATGGAAGCTAGAATAAAACTCTCCACAGTATAGGCTTACAAGTGCCTCTCAGATTGTCATAATATTTCCCTGCCTGCTTTTTTTGTTTTTTTATTATTCCTTACTTTATAGGGAAAATTCTCTCATCCTGTGTTCTATGAAAGCATTAAGTCAATTAATTAAAAGAAATTATGATGCATGTTTCCTGAAATATACTCCTTTACTTCCTTTTATCCTTCTTTCTTTTATGCATTGTAGGTGCTGAATCTCAAGCTTTGTCCAACAAAAACACATTGTATATTTCTATATCTTTCCTATTATAAATCCTTAACCTTCTACTAGACTAATATATTAAAATTCTTCAGACACGGAGAAGCAATGTTCATAATCTCCAGTTCATTATCTTAATTAGATCTGTCTTGTATTATCCCACAGTTTAGTCTCATTACTTTAAAGGTGATCAGCCTTAGAAGAGAATGTGAGCAGAATTTAGTGAATTCTATTGTGGCAACATTTCTCTCAGATCTGGCTTTGGATCTTTCAGGTGCAATAATGATAATGCTGCTGGTGTGGTTAATTAAAAATTGCATTTGAATGGTATGAATATTCATTTTGGGGAATGAACACAGGATTAACTCAGAGGGGTAAAATGTCTGCAATGTCCCAAGGATGTGAAGTGAACCTGGATCACATCAGAACACAAATGAATCATTTAAAATGATGGAAATTCAAAATCCTTCCACCCTGGAAACTATTAGTAGGGTATTGTCCAGGTTGAGCCTGTCTCTTAATATGACAACATACATTAATGTTCATCCTTCAGTAACAAATTATATGACATATATTTGACATACAGCTCAACCTAGGAGCTATTACCTAGTGCTAAATCTTCGCTAAATAATTAAGAAAGGCTACTAGCTTTTTAAAATTCTTAGGTTAAAGTGTTACAGTTACATCCATTAGATCCAGATTACTTTTAATATCTTTGTGTGAAAGATCAAAATTGGTTTCCCAGAAGGTGATTGTGACATGCAGGATGCTGCTGGGGAGGGTACAGACAAGAACTGCTGAGGCCTTTGATAATGAAGTGCTCTGTACCCAAACCTCTCTGGCAAAAGCCAGGACTTTAATATTCTGGGCAAGGATGTTAAAAATGTATCTTTTCTTTGTCTTGTGAATAACACCATTGAAAATATCAAAGTGGTGTTTCTTTTTTGCCCAAATTTATTTGTTGTCATTTTTCCTGAACAAAGGAAACATCAAATAATGAACAGCCTCTGTAAAGCTTATCTGGTACTGCAGGATGCTTAAAAAAATGAGACTACAAACTAGAGATAAAGCTTCTTTGGTGTAGGAACGTTGTGTGAAGTTTAATGGGCATTTGCCAGAGAATATTTTGCTGGCTGTTAGCTAGCTGCCAAGGGATTCACGGGATGCATGTTCTAGAATCAAACGCTCTGTGAATAAAATGAGGTCAGTTAAGGTAATTTGCATGGTGCTTTTGACTGCAGCATCAGGGAGGTCCAGGCTCACTGTGCAGTCAGAGATAGTGCAGTGATGTGTGTCCTCTCCTCCCTTGTCCTGCATCCTTCTTATCTAAGACACTTCTAGTTTGAAGTCTTCACTGGATGACCACCTGGGAAAGCCCAAATCCACTCATCACTTATCCCACTCAATGCAGAATCTGGCCTTCTTTCTCCAAGAGAGAAGCAGTAGCATTGTATCTCAGCAGCCAAGCTGTTTCAATGAATAAAGGGCATAGGGGCTTTTCACAGGAACAATCCCTTACCCCTGTATAATGAAGACAAATAAGAGTAGAGGCATTCTACTGACTTCCATATTTTCTTGTTAATGCCAAAGAGATTTAGTTAGCCTTTCTGCAGGGAGGATGCAGCAGGAACATATGTTGTGTTTTGGGGCAGATTATTTGTATAGTGGGCTACTCCAGCTAGCAGCTTAACTCTGACTGTTGGATAGAAGAACGGAGAAGAGAGCTCTTTTTGCTACTCCTTGGATCCTTTAGAATTGATGTATAACTTGAAAATAGTATCTTAATTGTAAGTAAAGGCAAGATGAAAAAGTATCAAACAACTATTATCATTATTTAATTTTCTTTTTACTAGCAGTATTGTTCCTTGTTTTTCTGGCTAAAAAAAAATAATTGAGAAATAACTCAGGGCCACTGTGTCTGGATATAGCATACACAAAAGCTAGAATTTTCTTGGTTGACTTGTGGGGAGCATTTACATTTCTTAGTCACAGTGTGTGTGCCTAGTTACACCAAAGATGTAGCAGACAGGGTATATATGCCTGGTAGATCTGATATGGGGCCGCAGCTCCTTTAAAGCTACAACTACTTGATTCACTCTGGATTGCCTTTGACATCATAGTCCTTATACAGAGAAATCCTCTGGCTGTAGAGAGACTCAAACTCTTTCTGAAATCGGATTCCTCCAATGTCTAAATACGAACAGAAAGCTGCTTAAAATCTCCAGCATTGCTCATAGCACATTAGTGCAAATGTATGCCACATGCAAACTACACTGAATAGAGTAACATGAGGGCTTAATTTGCCCTGCTAATTAGACTTGAGAAGGAAATTGTGGCCAGACAGCAGCTGTGGGAGGAAAGAATGAACAAACTCAGACTTTTTGTTCATCTGGTCATGCTTTTCATCCCTGTTTTACTATCTGGCAATTATTGCCTGTATATTTCTGTTGTTCCTTAAAATCTATCCTGCAAGTGAATCTGCTTATTGAAGAACTGCTGCTTTCTTCCTTCCCTGTGGTTTCACCCACTGTGAAGGCCAGACTTCAGAGGTGATAGAATACCTGGCCTTGCATTAGTGCCAACTGTTTTCCTTAGTTTTTCTCTGGAGAACTAATCACATTAATTTATTCATGGAATGTCACGGTGCTCAGTTCTGAGGAGGGGCCTGTGCTTGTCTTTTGTACCCTGCTTCTGTTTTGTGTACTCTTGTGGAGCCCATGTGTCTACTGCCTGATAGTTAATCCCACTGATAGTGTGATTTAATAAGAGGGAAGAATGATATGGCTGCATCCTGCCCATTATGTCCTTAGGAAGGAGATTTTTATTCGCTGTCAGATGTCACTGATGGAGCATTTGGCTTCCTTTCATCAAGTGACAATTGCAGTTTTAAGAGTACAGTATAGAGTGCCACTTTAAAACCAAACATCTCAATTCACAAGTGAGGGAAGGATAAAGTTGTGCAGCTGGAGGATGTTATTTCTTCTCAGCAGCTGTCATTGAAAAGGCATGGGAATGCTCTAGATGTCAGGTGTCATAAATGCTCCATCCAGGGTTTGTCACGTGCTGGGTAATATAATGTGAAGTGTTGAAAAGAAGTTTCTGTATACATTGAAAATCTTCTGTAGGCGAGCTTGCCCTGAAATTTGCTATACTGATGTTTAGGAAGTTAGAAATTAATATAAGTGAGATCAGTGTCATAAGCTGTATGTTTTACCAGAGTTGTGGAGGCTTTTTATGTCACTCAAGTCAAAATGTGCAGCTTTATGAACGTCCATGACAACTCCTTAACTCCATGCTGTAACTCTCCAAATCCTCAGGTGTATCTACACAGTGTTACCTGCTCCTTCTAAGGACAGATGCATGCATGCAGTGGGGGGCCGTGAATTAAAATAGGGAAAATGGTATTCCAATACAACACAACTTTACACTAGGAAGGTGTTATATTGCATGCCCCATATATACTCTATTGGCAGTTCTCAAAATTTCCCTTATATTCCTTTTTCTCCTTATTTCACAAACCTCATTACTGAGATAGGGGGACAGCAGCTGAAGCCAAGAAGAGCATCCAGGTCTTTTAACTTGCTTTTTGTTTCTTCAATTTTCCTTATTTTTCAAGAATTCATTCAGTGTGATCTGTGCTTGACAACCCCTGCACCATCCACATATAGAAACACTGATTTCAGTCAATGAGGAAAAGTATGAACTTATCAATTTTTAGGTCCAATGTCTGGTGACAGCGGGGGATAGAGAGGGCAAGATTTGAATCTTATTTAGTTATTTCTCTGGCCTTGGACTCTGGTATTTTCTGTAATGTCATTCTCCTTTTCTGTCAGCAATGGTTGGCTTTCTCTGTCAGTTATTGAAATCAGAGCATCTTTTCCTATTCCAGCTGGCATTTGCCAAAGGTACATGAAATGTAAATGGATATACAGAAGAATGCTTTCATTTGTAGTTATGTCAAGTGGAGATGTAACACAAGAAACACAAGGGTGTTTGTTGATGCAAGGACCACCAGGCACTGTGCA